CTACACTGGTCTTTTTGCTTAAATAGCCTCTATTGGTTAAGAATTGGAGCACAAACAAGTGCTCTGATGTATAATAGATAGCTTTTTGTATTCTGCATTCTTACACATTCTTTACTTGTCTTTCTCTTGTAGGCTGAAAGCACTGATAGCTATCCCGAAGGTGCAGCCGCGATTTGCCATTGCCATTTGGAAGAAATATCCCCCAATGAAATCTCGTTTGAGCGTTTACATGGATCCTAGTAAATCGGTGTGTCATATGTAAATGAGATATACCGTTCTTTGCTCTACTTTTTGGTGTGACATTTTTCTCTTTGAATCTGTTACCAACAGATCATCTCATGCTTGTTAATTGAATGCATGGTTGCAGGTTTAGTACTTATGTTTTCAGATTCTGTACTTGGAATAAATATCAAAGGCTTAAGAATAAGTAATGCATAAACTAAAAAAAAAAAAAGGTTGAACCCCAACCTTAAGGGCCCCCACCGACCCTGCCCTGGGCCATCGTGGAGGAGGTAAATCGCAGGATGTGCCTCCCAGGAGCCAGGGTGGAGAGCACATGGATAGGCCAAGGCTGTTAACCCATATGGTAACTCCCGCTTGCAACAAAGTCAATTCCACATTGCGGGGAATCGAACTCTGCACACTGTCGCGCTGAGCCCTATCTGCCCTCCCCTTTGCCACTGGGAGATATGCCCTGGGGGCATATAAGTAATGCATAAACTAGGTTCTTGATCTGACTGTTATAGAAGCATACAGGAAAAATTTTAAAAAAAAAATGACTTGCCTGTCTCCCCTTTTCACTGTTTTCCCGGTATCTAGAGGTTCCTAGAACCGAATGAAGCTTTTTTTCCCTTATTCTTTTGCTAGAAAACAGAGTTCCAGTTGTGTAACATGAGGTCCTAGAACTTCAGAACGTAAAATAAACTTCACTCTGGATTAAATAAAATAAATGAGCACTTGAACTCTTGGTAAAAACAGATTCTTTGACATATATAACTTGTCCATTGTCAAAGATGTGGTGCAAGTATGTATTATTTCAGTTCCACTTTCACTAGGTTTATCTGTTGATTTCACTTGGGACTTCTGTAAGTTGACGAGTCACTCAAAAAGAGGGGCTTGTTTTGTATGTCTTGTTTTAGGTCTAGTTTCCACAAAGTGTATATGTGGATTAGGCGTTATTACCAAGTAGGTAAGCTGTAAGAAATTCTTATAGCAAACAGTCGTGCATTGCTTGCTTTTTCTCTCCTGTACCATATTTGGATCTATCCCTCCAAAGAGCATTATTCTTTTCCTCTCTTAGTTGATTATCTGCTTTGCAACACGGGCACTTCAATTAGAGTAGTGTGTTCGTATTCGACACATGTCAATATTGACACTTATCGGACATTTTACCATAAACATTTTTCTTTTTTTATTAAAATATTATATGTTTTTAACTTAAAGTTATTAGTAAATAACAAATAGATTCTCGTATTTAAAAGAAATTTCAACAAGAAAAATTAATAACAATTATAAAATTAAATTTATATTATGTAGAAGAAGAATTTTAAAGAATTTAATCAATGTGTCGGCTACGTGTCGCGTTAGTATTTTTTTGGAAAATCGCATGTCGTACGTGTTGGACACGTGTCTGTATCAGTGCATTATAGATTGTCGGTTGCTATAGCTTGATGGCAAAACTCATTTTTCCTTGTACTGGTTGATGGCTAACTCAATGCATCAAAGCTACGGAGGCGTTTTTATTTTTGGAAGATTCTTTCCTTTAGTTTTCTTCATGATGCAACTCTGATGTATCTACTAAAATTGTCAGGTGCAGGAGAAAGAATTTCTGTTGAAGGATTTGACGATGGAAGGCTTAACAGTTGGTGATAGTAGATTAGGCGAGATTTGTTCCAAGAGTGTACAGAATTCTACTGGTTCAACATGGAAGCTTTAAAACTGATGATGTTGAGAGTGCAGCTGATTTCTTTAGCCAACACTCTGAATCACAGCGTAGCTACTGGTTATCATCAATCTGTGATGGAAAGGTTGACATTTTTAAAACTTGCAAATCAAGCATTTTGTGATTACAGTTATCATGTCTTGAGCTTTTCTGCCTCGTACCTTTCTTCTTGTATAGTTTTCTTGTATTTCAAAAGTAATTAATAAAGTTGAACTTAATCTGGAACAAACCCTACTTCTCATTTGCTAAAATGGGGAACGTCCAGCAGTAATGCACGATTTTTTGACCGCCAAGTGCATGTATAGAACTAGACCATACGTATAGTATAATGAATAAGCTTTTTAGCATCTATCTTACTAAGCATACCATAAAGATACAAGTCTTGTTCCCACGATTTTGTAACTTTTACGGGGTAAGGGAAAAAGGGAAAATACTTGAGTTGATGCCCCACTGGGTTCTTCCAAAATTAATATAATTGACACAAGCAAAATGTAGACTGGTATTTGATCCTAAAGAAAGATACTGTTATTGCTATGTAGCGGCATGATAATGTGGCATTAATGGGTTGTACCAACCCATTCATGCATCAGCTTCCAACATTATGTTTGAACATGTCATGTTTCAAAGGCCCAGCTTCATGGGACTAAGCCATGCGGCCCATGCCATGCCAGGGATTTTGAAGTGATTAATGCAGAAAATAAATTATGCCAATGTTTGGTTCAACTTAAAATTAGATTTTTAGTAAATTTTAATAAAAGTTGATGAAATGTGTAAAGAAAAATTGATAAAAATCATAGATTCGAAGAAATATGTGGTTGAAAATGAATATTAAAAAATGAGAGTCAAATAAAGGTTACATTAACTTCGTGAATTGAGAAGGATAAAAATCGACGTAAATTGATTGTCTTTACAAATGTTAAGCTTGGTATAAAATTAGAATGGTGAATAATATTTGTAAATTTATTGAAATATGTGGCTAAAATGAAGTTTAAGTTGATTAAAAAAAATAAAAATAGAAACAAAGCTAACCAATTTATTGCCCACGTAGGGCCAGGGTGTTTCATAACCAGACTGTAGTGGGCCCCCACCACTTATGATATTAACATTAGTGGGCTATGCCACTAGATGGGCCATTTGTAAGTGGCAATTGGCTCAACGTCAACTACCAACTTCACTTGGATACGATAAATAAGATGACTCTAAAGTCTAAAGAAGTATTTTTCGAAAAAGTTATTTGGTGTTACTATACTCAAATCTTCCAAAAATCTTTGGTCTTCAAATCAAAGTCACTTCATGGAGCGTGCAAACCGCACTAATATACACATTACTATGGCACGGGTCCATGTTATCCTTGTATATAAATTTCAATAAGCCATTCTCTTTTTCTCAGACCTGCGAGTTTTTGATCATGGAGAGAAGCAAAACATTCCCCTGTTACTCGTCTTTGCACACAGATCAAGCTCGATTCGACTTTGGAGATTGCTCTAAATCGTATAGCTTCAACGGCCCGAGGGACAATCCGGAGATGGAGAGGAGGAAGAGGGTGGCAAGCTATAATATGTATGCCATGGAGGGTAAGCTGAAATCGTCGTTAAGAAATAGTTTTAAATGGATTAAGAGCAAATTCAGAGATGACTACTATGATTCATCGTCGGGCTAGGCCGATAAAAAATCAAGTCTTTTGGTCCTCGTGGAACAAATCAAGTGGCGTTGTTTGTCATAGAAAATTTCTGGTGTTCAAGGATAAGTGTATTCTGTTTTTGGTTTCCCTGAATTGTTGGTCTTGTGAGGATATGTAATATATATGATGATGAATTATGAAACTAGATAGATTTGAATTGCTTTTTGTACATACATTTGTGATTTCCTGGCTAAATATGATCATTTGGTAAATCTAGGAAAACCAGCCAAATTTAGACTAGTACAAACCAGCATTTGCACATAAAAAAGGACAGAAACTTGTTTACATAATCTGTAGATAATTAACAAGGTACCACCAATTCAGTGATAAGAGAATAGCGACATGCCTAGCATATCCAAGGGAAACAGAAATATTCTCCTGCAGCTTAATTATCCTCTAGGCCGAAGAGTCTTGAGATCTTTTCCAGATCAAGATTTCTGAAATCGATGTTGGAGAAGGATCTGCGATGAAGATTTGATTTACTCTCTTCAAGGTGGTTGGCAGCCTCGGTCAAAGACGCCAGTAGGAGAGGATAGTTCTTGATGTTTTTCAGTGCATTAGGATGTGCCTCGGTTTTTGAAGATATGTTAAGCATAGAATGAAAAACTGGAGAAAGCGAATGAGGCAGGGTCTCTTGACTGCTTTGTTTGGTGGTCGTGGAAGTGCTACTCGTACTATTTATCGTGTCTAGGCTTTGGAAGCTATGAGATGTCTGTATTTCCTGGTAAAAAAAATGACGACGAAAATGGTGAGTGGCGACGGAGTTCAGCATTCACATGCATTTTATGTAAAAGAATTCCTCAACGAAATTTGAGCACTTTTTCTTTTTCGTTGTCGATAGCCGATAGGGAAATGTTTGTGCAAGCATCACGAGAAAGTTTAACATGCAGCATAGAGTTAGAAAGAATGCCATAGAAACTCAAAAATGCTTGTGCATAAAATGGAGCCTTACTCTGATATGTTCATGGAACGAGACCTTTCTTCTATAACCTCCATGGTTCTTGCTAGATAGTTGCTGTGCTTTTCCAGTTCTGTTTATACAGGACAGGTAATCATGAATTATTCTCGAGCAAATTAACTATGGCCAAATATGACAAAAGAAGTAAAAAGGTATATACCTGATACTACATATCAATTTGACTTCTGAATTCAGTTTTACTTTTTTATTTTTTATTTTTATTTTTATTTTTTGTAACATGAAAAATCTCAGCACAATAATGCAACGATAATTAGAATTCTGATAAAAAAAGATACGTCGAACTTTAAAGAGATGATGCTACCTTCTTCTATTATTAGACTGGATAGTCTCATCCTCTGTTGTGCTTATCACAGGCAGACCAGAGAGATTACATGCCAATGGACTCGTACAAAAGAACTGTAAACGATAAAACAGTCAGCAAAGGTCAAAAAAATAAAATAAAATAAAATAAAAATCTCCTAGAGTATATCCTGTGTTGCCTTTAGACAGGTATTGACTTCTTTGCAAGGAAAAAGAGGTTATGCTTTAAGTGAAAACTCTTCGAAAGGTGAGAGGATAGAGGAGGAAGATGCTTAGGCACTTCTAAATTCTGTATATCCTTTTGTCATTTAAAGAATTTAAACCTACATTGCTTAAATCTTAGACGGTTGATTAAACAGGATACTATTTCTTGATTATAACAGAAGCCTGAAGAGTGTTCATCATTTTGCGATTTCAGTTGTTTTTCCATTTTCAATCTAGTTTAGAATTTATTAGTGCAGTGAATGTTCTTCCTTTCTGTAACTCACCTCATTTTCTAGAGCAGAAGCAGCAGTGCCACGATGTGCAGGATCTAAAGCTAGAAGTCTGCCCAAAAGACCAAATGCTGAGTCGGGGAAACCTGGAAAGGTTTCCTTGAAACATGGTTTATAATGCTGTGGAGGGCGAAATGTTGTTGGTGGCTTCAATTTTTTCCAATAGTGCTCGGGGGGCGAACCACAAAGCTTGAATATCTTATGAAGCTGTTCAATCTGAATACACAAAGTGCTTAATAAGGTTCTTGAATAGACACTAACTGTATGTTTTACTCTTTAGTATTACAAATAATACTGCTTAGATTTTAGCTAGCAGCAGCACAAGTACTTAAAGAAGGTGTTACCTCGTTCCTGCCCGGCATAATTGGTCGTCCCTCAAACATCTCTGCTAAAAGGCATCCTGCACTCCACAGATCAATGCCAACCCCATAATCTGTAGAGCCTAGTAGTAGTTCTGGGGCTCTATACCATAATGTGACAACTCGGCTCGTGAGAGCAGGTTTTGCTCTGTTTTTGTAAAAATTAGCTAGCCCAAAATCAGCAATCTTGAGCACCCCATTCCTATCAATCAACAAATTAGATCCTTTTATGTCCCGGTGCAAAATTTCCCTCTCGTGGCAATGCTGAAGACCTGAGAGCAGCTGCTGCATATAACACTTGACCTACACACATTCAGGAGCTCAATTCCATTATTCAATCTAAAGTGACTTAATATCTGTTAAAACTTAAAATCATTCATGTAGCGTCAAAAACAGTATTCGTGTAGTGAACCCCAAATTTATTGAAAGTAAGGCTTAGTTTTATCTTATAATATCAATCAAATTGAATGAGATGTTGAGTTTCTTAACATGTGCTAAATTTTTCTTGTTTGAATTTTAATGACAGAAATCTAAACTGAAATTTTATTCAAAAGTGGAGGATAAAATTCGACCTGAGGTGCAGTAAGCCTTCTCTCTGATCGTGAGATGACTTTAGCCAAATCTGATGGCATAAAATCAAATACTAGATAAAGACTGTACTGCATTCTTGATGTGGCTATTCCTTCAAGCTTAATAATATTCGGATGGTCAAGGTGCTTCAACATTATGATCTCTCTTGCCATAAATTTTACACTTTCAGGCTCTGATGTATCGAAACGAACCTTCTTTAAGGCAACCACCTTACCAGAGAACTTATGCCGAGCTTTATACACGTTGCTATACGTTCCATGGCCTACCTGCAAGGTAAGAAGCACTTGATAAAGAGGCACACAGAGAGAATTTCTTCTCAATTCAAGAGTACCCTTTGTTGGTTTCAAAGAGGTACATAGTTGGTAAAAGTCCTGTTATGAATTGATTGTAAGATAATGGCAATAATAAAATAAGCAAGAACAAAATAAGATAACCAAGATTTATGTGGAAACCTAAGATGGGAAAAAATAACGGGCAAAGAAGAAAAATCCACCATAATTAATAGTAATTGTGTTTACAACAAGATCTCAATACTCTCAATTAAGATCTAAAACTCTCAAGATGTTGTATGAATATTATAAAAACAATAAAAGCCGTAACTTATATATATGAAACCATAGAAGTCAAGTCGTAAATAAATAGGAGTTCAAAAACACATCAAAATTAGAAATAGGCCTGGGTTGGATAACCTTGTTGCTCGAGCGACAGGCGGGTGACGAGTCTCTATAGAAAATATTTAGGTGCTGCTCGAGCGGCTAGCTAGCAAAAATGCAGTGACTTTTCTTTTCGATCCATAATTTTGATCTTTTCAAGACTACTTCAACTAGGACTCTAATACTCACTAGAATTTATGTCACATTATAACAAATCTCCACCTTAAACCAAATTCCAATGCAAGAAATTTCAAAAACACATCTCCAAAGTAAACACATTCTCCCTCTTCCAAACAATCCCCAATGTGCTATATCAATAACAAACACAAACTAAGTTCAACCAATGCTCAAACTTAGCAATGGGTAGTAGTTTTGTCATCACATCAGCAGGATTATCCTTGGTATCAACCTTATTCACTACAATATCACCACAAGCAATCACTTCACTCACAAAATGATACCTCATGTCAATGTGCTTAGCCCTCTCATGGAACATCTGATCTTTAGTTATAAAAATGGCACCCTGGCTCTCACAATATACTGTAAAAATTTGTAAATCTTTATTCATTTTACCAATTAATCCTCTTAACCACAAACCTCCTTACATGCCTCAATATGATCATGCACTTTATTTCTATTGTAGACAAAGCTACTGTATTTTCTAAAATAGCTTTCCAGCTGATAGCATACCTCCAAGGGTAAACACATACCCTGTAAGTGATCTCCTCTTATCAAAATTCCCTGCATAATCTGAATCTACATACCTAATGACTCTATCTGTATTTCTGCTAAAATGGAAGCAAGCATTAGTAGAACCCTTTAAAAATCTGAATATTCATTGCACTGCTTTCCAATATTCCTTGCCAAGATTTGTTTTGTACTTACTAACTATGCTGAATGTATGTGCCAAATCTGGTCTTGTACAAATCATAGTATACAGAAGTGAACCAAATGCACTGCAATAAAGAACTCGAGATATATAATCAATGTCTTCATCTGATTAAAGACACAATCCAGATGATAATTTGAAGTTAGCAACCAATGGAGTACGACAGCCTTAGCATTCAACATATTGACCTTTGAAGCATCTTCTCAATTACCCCTTCTGACTCAAATACAATCTGCCAGCCTTTCTATCTCTCAAAATTTTCATACTAAGAATTTTCTTTGCTGCACCCAAATCTTTCATCTCAAATTCTTTACTAGGTTGAGATTTCACATTTCTAACCTCTGCTTGTCATTGGCTGCAATGAGCATATCATCAACATATAATAGCAAATATGTGATCGATCTACCATCTTTCTTTCTGAAGTACATACAACTGTCATAATTACTTCTAATGAAACTATGAGTAGTCATGAATGAATCGAACCTTTCATACTACTGCCTCAGTGATTGCTTTAATTTATACAGGGACTTCTTGAACAAGCACACATAATCTTCTTTAGCAGAGACTATGAAACCCGTTGGTTGTTTTGCATGTAAATATTTTCTTCAAGTTCTCTATGCAAGAATGCTGTCCTGACATCCATCTACTCAAGTTCCAAATCATTTTTTTCTATAATCCCAAGTAAAGCTCGAATTGAACTATACTTTACAATAGGCGAGAACAGATCTGTGAAGTTAACACTTGAAATTTGATTGTAGCTCTTTGCTACCAATCTGGCCTTATACCTAGTATCTTCAATCTCTAATATTTCTTCCTTCCTTTTGATCACCTATTTGTAACGTACAACCCTTTTATCCTTAGATAATTTCGCCAAGTCCTAAGTATTATTTTCATTCAATGACTCCATATCCTCCTACATAGTAATCAACCATCTGCTAGAATCACAGCAACTAACTACATCTGAATACGTAGAAGGCTCCTCAATGGAATTAGTATCTTGAGCCACATTCAATACATAAGCTGCTAAATAAGCCTTTTCGTATTTCTGTGGAGGTCTAATTTGTCTACGAGGTCTATTTTTAGCAATTGAATACTGTGGTGTCGGCAAAATATTACTGTCTATCAATTCTGAACTAGACTGCTCTATAGTATATTGTTTTGAATCTTCTGATTGTTCCATGGACCAATTTCCAACTTCACGTGCGTTAAGTGATTTCGTTCCTCTATTTTATCAGAATCTGCAAGGTGAATTGTGAACCATAGTTAGTTCATGAAATATTATATCTCTACTAACCACTACATTTCTTGTCTAAAGACATCACAATTTATACCCATTCATATCTGATTTATATCCAAGAAAGATACACTTTCTAGATCTAAGTTCCAACTTTTCATTATCCACATGACCATAAGAAGGACACCAAAAAATCTTCAAACCAGAATGACAAGAAAGTTTACCAGACCGTACATCTTCTATTGTCTTTTACTCAATGATAGTTGAGGGTGAGTGATTAGAAAACAAGCTATGGTAATAGCTTCAGCCCAAAAAGTCTTAGGCAATTCAGAATTTAAAAGCATACAATGAACATTTTCCATCAAAGTTCTATTAATCCATTCTACCATACTATTCTGTTGAGGAGTTCCGAGCATTGTCAAGTGTCTCAAGATGCCTTCAGCCCTACGAAGCTATTGAATTCATCTGAACAAAACTCCAATATATTATCTGTGCATAGAAATTTAACCTGCTGTCCAGTCTGCTTTTCTATCATTGTTTTCTATTTCTTAAAGGTTTTAAACACATCACTCTTCTGTTTCAAGAAGAATACCCAAACTTTGTTGGAGAAATTATCAATCACTGTCAATAGATAATAAGCACCTCCTCTTGAAGGTACTCTAGTCGGTCCATAAAGATCTAAATAGATATATTCAAGTGTTCCATTCGTATTGTATCTTCTTATAGTGAATCCGACTCTTTTCTGTTTTCCAAAGACGTAATGCTCACAAAACTTTGTCTTACTGATCTTCTACCCATTAAGAAGTCCCTTCCCACTCAATTCTGTCGTATCATTCTCTCTCATAGGCCTAAATTGTATATTCCAAAGTTTAGAAACTTCCTCATCAGTCAAAGAAAAAGTAGGAACTGCTGTATCTCCTGTAACTGTAAAACCCTGAAAAATGTACAACTGTGTAGACTTTTCTACCCCTTCATGATAACAAGAGCACCCCGACTCACTTTCAAAACTCTACATTCACCAGTTTATATATGACCAAAGTGTACTCAAAGATATGAGATTCGCTTCAGTTCTGGAACGTATCTGACATCTGTAAGTGTTCTGATAACACCATCAAATATTTTAATTCTGATTGTACCAACTCTAACAATTTTACAAGGCACGTTATTTTCTATAATCACCGCACCTCTCGAATCTCTTTCATATGTTGTAAACCAGTCTTTGTTGGGACACATATGGAAAGTACGTACCGAGTCAAGAAATACTCACAAGGTTTTGGAATTCATGTCGAAAATCACAAAAAGCTTTCCTTCACTTTTTCCATCTTCCGCAACATCAGTCTCCCCTGTGTTAATAGGTTGCTTTCCTTTTTCAATAGCACCATTAGCTTTATTTCTATTTTTAAGTGAATACCAATTAGCTTTGATATATCTCTTTTTCTTATAGTAATGACATACTTTCTTTGTATGTCTAGATTTTGATCTACTCCTCATATTCCTACCAAGATTCCTATCTTGATTTCTCCCACGAACAACCAAGCTTTCAACTTGACTCCCAGATCTTCTAGGAAGATATCTCATCTTCTCCTTAGATAATAAAGCATCATAGACCTCTTCCACAGTGAGAGTATCCCGAGTATAAAGAATAGTATTTCTAAAAGTTATATATGATGGCGGTAGTGAATACAACATCAACGTCAAGTCCTCCTCATCATACTTATCCTCCAATATCTCCAAATCGGGCACGATTTCTTTGAACTTAGTTAGTGATCATCCAACGACGCTTCTTCGAAATTCGGTGAGAATACAACTGCTATTTCAAGTGTAACTGCTCAAGCTCTTTTCATACAAAGTTGCTCCAACTTCAACTACAATGCAGCAGCACTTTTCTCTTTTAGAACATCATGCAAAAATTGATTTGACAGATGTAGATGAATTTGGGATTAGGCTTTATGATCCCCACGTTGCTTTTCATACTGCGTTCAGGTTGAAGGCATCTTATCAAAGCCAAGCAAAACTTCCTCTAAGTCCATCTGTGTGAGAACTGCTCTCACCCTCAGTTGCCATAAAGCAAATCTCGTGTTCCGATCCAATAACCAAATATCATATGTCATCGTTGCCATGCAGAATAATCAACTTTGCTCCGACACCACTTATTATGAATTGATCTCAAGATATTGACAATAACGAAATAAGCAAGAACAAAATAACAACACCAAGATTTATGTAGAAACCCAAGATGGGAAAAAACCACGGATGGAGGAGGAAAAATTCACTATAATCAATAGTAATTATGTTTACAATAAGATTTCAATATTCTCAACTAAAATCTAAAGCTCTCAAAATATTGTATGAATGTTATGAGAACAATATAACCGTGACTTAGATATATGAAATCCTAGAAGTCAAGTTGTAGATGAATAGAAGGTAAAAAACGCGTCAAAATGAGAAACACGTTTGGAACGGATAACCCTGTTACTCGAGCGACAGGCGACCGATAGGCGGATAACAACTCTGTCACTCAAGCGTCAAGCGGATTACAAGTCTCTGTAGAAAACATGTAGGTGCCACTCGAGCGGACAGCTAGTGGCAAGCTAGCAAAAATGCGGTGATATTTCTTTCCGGTCCGTAATTTTGATCTCTTCAAGACTACTTCAACTAAAACTCTAATACCCACTAGAATTTGGGTCACATTACAACAAGTGCATTTAATTGAATAACATTTACAAAAACGCAATGTTCCTCACTGAATTTGCAGATAATATCAAAGTTAATCATTATTGCATTCATTTTATGATGAAATTACTTATTGATTTGTTTAATACTGACCTTTGAAAGCTTATCGTAAGAATCAGCAGTTGATGGAACAAAACCAGCCAAAACATCGCTAGGAACGTGCTCAACAAGCCATTTAGGCCATCCACCAACCAGTTCATCTACAGCAAGTTTCTTGACTGAAATCCTCTGTGAAACATTTCCACCGCCATTGATTCCTCTCTCACCTTCTCTACTGATCTTTCTCTCCCGCCCCCCACCGCCGGTGGCAACCGCCTCATTCTTAACGTCCACTTTGGGCCGAGATGCCTTATTGTGAGCCTGTTTCTGGGCATTACGTCCTTGAACATATCCATTGTCAAGTTTCAACTTGGCAAGACCGTTCGTCGGGCTGTGCGTGGTCCCTTTAGCCTGAATACAACCCATCCTTTACGGAGGCGAATTTACGAATATTCTTGACTTTTGCAAGGAATCTAGGTGATGAAAGTGACTGGGTATGGTTTCCTTACACCATGCATAAGGTGGTAGGAATTGAGGGTTTGGCATTTTGATGAGAAGTAACACTGTTCACAAAGACAAAAGGTGGTGTAACTGTCCCTTGGCCGGCATTGTGCTGTACGTAAGGGTGGCTCCTCTTTCTCCACGCCAGAAAGAAAAGCCCAAGAATTTTATCCATTATCAATGAGTTGAGCTGTTTTATCAAGGCAATCTTTGTGTTTTTTTGTATAGCTGGACAGTTAACTCAACAGTTCGGCAACTAGATTCCGAAGCATGTCCATTATGAATACGTTTTTAAGATAGGTTACTTATTCGCTAATATTCATACTTTGCAAATATGTAATTTATTTGACCAAAATAATAAGTTATATATAAATTAATAAATACAATTGCTTCGCCAAGAGGAAGCAAATCAGCCACCATGACAAAGAACGCAATGGGCGGGATTTTTGAAAAGTCAAATGTTGTTTTTAAAATTGAGAAGTAGTTTTTGAACATGTTTAACATCCATTTGATAAGCTTTTTGCTTTTACTTTTGTTTTTTGTAAAAAAGTTTTTGGATAAAATTACCTTAATTTTTATTTGAAATCTAATTTTTAAAAGTACTTCTTATTCTGGAAGTGACTATTAGAGGAAGTCACATTAGATCAATTTCTTCTAAAAAAAATTTTAATTTAGAAAATGTACTTTCATAAAATTGACTAAATTGGTCCAAAGTAACTTTTGAGACTTTGTAAAAGTCATGTCAAATGAGCCTTGAATAATTTTTTGAAAGTAATTGGAAAAGTTTTAAGAA